TGATTGAGCTTATTAGAGTCTCTTCTTTTCTTCTTCTTGTTAATCTAGCAAGAGGCATGTCAATTTTGTTTATTTTTTTAAAGAATCAACTTTTTATTTTATTAATCTTCCATGTAGTTTTTTTTATTATTGATTTCATTCAGCTCTGCTCTGATCTTTGTTATTTCTTTTCTTCTGCTGGGTTTGGAGTTGGTTTGCTAATCCTTTTCCAGTTCTTTGAGATGATTGATTAGATTGTTAATTAGTGATTTTTCTGTCGTTTGGATATAGGAATTTATGAATATAAATTCTTCTCTCAGGACTGCTTTAGCTGTGTCCCACAGATTTTGATAACGTGTGTCTCCTTTATCATTTAGTTCAAAGATCTTTTGATTTCCATCTTAATTTCCTCCTTAACACAAAAATCATCAGCAGAAGGTTGTTTAGTTTCCATGGCTTTGTGTAGAGATGAGAGTTTCTGTTGGAGTTGATTCTAATTTTATTACACTGTGGTCTGAGAAGATGCATGGTAGAATTTCTATTTTTTTTTTAATTTTTTGAGACATGCTTTGTGGCCTAGGATATGGTCAATCTTACAGAATGTCCCTTGAGCTGATGACAAAAACGTATATTCAGTGGTTTTTTTCATAGAATGTTCTGTAAATGTCAGTCAGGGCCATTTGTTCTAGAGTTCAGTTTAAGTCCATTGTTTCTTTGTTTATTTTCTGTTTGGAGAATCTGTCCTGTTCTGTCAGAGGGGTGTTGAAGTCCTCGGCTATCGCGGTATTGTTGTTTATCATTTTGTTTAGATTAAGTACGATTTGCTTTATGAATCTGGGTGCATCTGAGTTAGGTGCATAAATATGTAGAATTTTTATGTCTTCTTGTTGAATTGGGCCCTTCACCATTATATAGTGATCATCTTTGTCTTTCATTACTTTTGTTGATTTGAAGACTAAGTTATCTGAAATCAGAACTGCTATGCCAGCTTTCTTTTGGCTTCTGTTTGCATGAAATATTGTTTTCCATCCCTTCACCTTGACTATGAATGCATCCTTGTGGGTTAGATGTGTTTCCTGAAGACAGCAGACACTTAGTTTATGTATATTTATCCATTCGGGCAGCCTATGTCTCTTTAGTGGGTATTTCAAGCCATTCACATTTATGGAAAGAATTGATAAGTGGGGCAGATTTCTGTTCATCCTGTTAAGTTGAACTTTGATGCTTTGTTTTCTCTCTTGAGCCACTGTCAAAGGTATCTGGTCTTTCACCTTTAGCTTTTGGATGATTCTACACTGGTGAGTGTTTATTGTGGTGATCCATGTATAACACTGTTCTGAGTACTTCCTGGAAGGTAGGTCTTGTCTTGATGAATTTCCTCCGTCTTTGCTTGTCTGAGAAGGTCTTTATTTCTCCTTTGTATAAGAAATTTAGTTTTTCAGGGTACAAGATTCTAGGGTGGTATTGACTTCTTGACTCTGGGCCAGGCACTGTGCTAACTAAGCACACATTATGCACATTTTAATCTGTATAACAAGATTATGAAGCCAGTAATATAATTAGTCCCTTTTTACAGACTGTTACTTGATTCTCACAACCCTAAAAAGCAGATAAGATAAATACTAAAGGAAACTGAGGCTAAGAGAGGTCACAAAATTTAGCCAACATTGTATAGTAACCATCAGATGGTTACTAAAAGTACATCCCAAGTTTCACATTTTTCATAACCCTTTCTATTCAGACTTCATTACACTATGCCAAGGATTCTCAAAGTGTGTGCCAGGGATCCCTGAGGTCAGAATATTTTCATAATAATACTACAGTGTTATTTGTCTTTTTCCTCTCATTATTTCACAAGCAAGGTTACATTGATATGTAATCACATCATTGCTCTGAATGAAATCGCACTGATGAAATGTGTGCTTGTGTAGTCTCACGTTTTACAAATGTCTCAGTGTTTTGCTGTTGTTTTTTCTTTTGAGACAGGGTCTAGCTCTGTCACCCAGGTGAGAGTACAATGGTGTCATCATAGTTCACTGTAACCTCAAACTCCTGGGCTCAAGTGATCCTCCTGCCTCAGGCTCCTGAGTAGCTGGGACTATAAGCCCATGCCACCACATTTAGTTAATTTTTGTATTTTTTGTAGAAACGATGTCTCGTTGTGTTGCCCAGGCTGGTCTTGAACTCCTGGACTAAAGTGATCCTTCTACCTTGGCCTCCCAAAGTGCTGGGATTACAGGTGTAAGCCACCACACCTGGCCTAAATGTCTCAGCTTTAACTTCCAATACATTAAATATCAATAGATATAACACACACAAATGTTCTTTGGGATCTTCAAGAGTTCTTAAAGAGAACAAGGGGGCCTGAGCAGTTTGAAAACTGCTGCACTTCACTAATAATAAAGTGAATGATGACATACTTGTCAATGCCATTTTACTTGCTTCAAATGAACCTAAAGTAGTAAAACTTTCTTTTTTTCAAGGAAAGGCTGAGATAAACATAATCATGGGAAAAGAAAAAAAAAGCTGGAAACTAATTCAGAATTAAGAGTAATCATGAAGGGTGGGTCTATAGGGTGAAGTCAGGGAGGATTGGGCAGAGTGAACTTAGACCAGAGAGAAGCTGATGGGGCTAGAGATGAGGCTTTATAGTAGGGGAGGCCAGACAGAACAGGCAATGGGCCTGCACAGGTCAGATGAGGGCAAGGCCACCGCTGCCGTCTACCCAGCCAAGGGGATCTCTCCCTCCCGTACTGGGGAGTCCTCCTCCTGTATACCTCAAGCACTTAGGAGTTAATTCTTACTGCTAGATGGAAATGCCTATTTTACAAAGAAAACTGGTTGGATAATATGGAATTTGATTTTTTTTTTTTAAAAAGGACCCACTGTGTATTAAAATCCTGAATGCTGTGGAATAGGACATACGGGTCATCATTAAATAAAGTAACCAAGGAAACAATACGCTGAGATCAGGATGTTCAGAGGCTAATCCATCCTCATGTTACAGAGGAAATTCTGCCTGATGGAGAGCATTTTAAGAGCCTCGTGTTGGGAAATAAGTTTGCAGAGATTTTCAAAATGCCTGGGGCTATGCACCTCGTTCTATGATTTCTGTGGCACATCCCATGGCTGATAGAATAAAGCACAGTCCCTATACAACTACACAGCTTGGTGTTTTGCTTTAGTCTGTTTGTCTAGTCCATAATAACCTTTAACAGTTATCTGACTTAGAATAAATTTGTGAAATTTGTGAAAAATGAGAGCAGGAAAAAAGGAAGATGTAATGTGAGACCAGATCCATTGGGTACTCTGTTGTGATGATGGGTTAGAGGGATGTACCTGTGCCAAGCTGCCATCAGCAGCTACGCAATATTTACCAACCTTTCAAGAGCTAAAAATCAGAGAGAAGCTGTTTAGAAAACAAACAAGGCCATACACCTGAAGCCACTGTGGGAAAGGCAATGTGATGAGAAGTGAGTGTCTGAGCCACCCTGAAGAATTGGTCTGTCCCTCTAAGCATCACCCACGTCACAGTTGGATTACAGGACTCAGGAACGTATAGGGAAACTAAAGAAGACATTAACACTTAGCCTCTCGTAGCTCTGTTCACTTATTTCAGAGTCTTACATCAGCTTCCTATTAATTTCACCATTAGAACAAAAATGCCTGGTGGAAATAATGAGGCAATGTAAGGGCTTTAAGAAAGAGGCAGGAAGGAATACTGTTAGTGTGTAGAATGTGGCACTGAACACAACCCAACCAATACACATTCGTCTGGATCTAAAGAAGGGGAAACAAAGTAAGAGCAATAACCTGGTTCTCCTTTTTGACACAGGTGTCAATGTCTGCCACCAAGAGAGTGACTAAAGAATATTCTACAGGAGGGGGGATAAAAAGCAGAACTCAAATGAAGCCAAAAATAAATCTGATGCTGCCTCCTTCCCTCAGAATGTATTCAAAGTAGCCAGCTCTGGCAAAACCCTCCCTGACACTCCTGTTAAGCCTCCCGGGAAACCAAGAGAGATGGGCTGTGCACCCCATGGGCAGGGCTGGGGCCATGAGCCAGGCCAGACAGAAAGTGGCCTCCTTGGTTAGTCTTCCGCGAGAACACAGACATTCTCTCAAACATTCTCTGCTCTTACAGTTGGAAGGATTGGAAACAGGTGATAAAGTCTTGTGACCTAGGGCCAACCTAGACCCTAGAAAAGAGAAACACCAGTTAAGATGTTTTTATGATTTTTCTGGACTTCAGGCAAAGTACATAGTATCTCCTGTTCATCTTAGAGAGTTCATAGCTTGCCTGTTTTATAGAGGAGGGAATGGAAGCACAGAAGGCAAATGAGTGACTAGCCTAAAACGCTGTATCGGGGAGTGGCAGAGCTGGGTGTGAACCTTGCCTCTGCTCTAATGGTAGTATTCTCTCTGAGATGACCACTCTACTCCAGATAAAAAGGCAGCATTTCAAAAGCTTTGACTGTCCTCCTTACCAAGCTTCCTGGAATTTCTGTAACCTGCAAGGCTTGTCTTGATTCCGCCGACTCCTCAACCACCTTCCAACCTGGCGCTCCGTCAGGTTACACTTCTTTGCCAGTGCATAAATATCAGCCTGAAAAAAGATGAAACAAACAAATGAGTGATAAGTGGCAGAGGCAGACTGGCTGGCAGGTAGTCAAGAGACAGCGAGACTGGGTTACAAGAGCTGTATACTTGGGATGAGAGAAAGTCTACCATGAGACCTTGAGCCAGGAAATTTACCTTTTTACTTACAGAATCTCACACACGCACACATGCCAGAAACCAAAAAACAGAGAGAATGTTAGTATTCCAGCTCTCTGAGTTACTGAGAAATATCAATTCTTTATAGATTGGTAGCAACCCACAAGTTCATGTTGCATGCGTGAGCTCATTCATTCAGCTAAAATTTATTTAGGATCTCTTAGGTGCCAGGTAGAGTAGTATAGTTCAAGACGTCAATTGAATCCAATCTCTTCATTTTTCCTATGCAGAAACTGAAACCCCGAGAATTTTAGTGATTTGTCCAAGACCTAAGATTAGGAGTAAAGTGTATACTAGAACTTAGGCTAGTGCACCTTCTGGTATTTCACATGCTCTTTCTAAGAGCTGCAGAAGATCATGCAGGAAAGCCTCAAACAGGTGTTGGCTATCTCCTTTCACATGAATCAAATGTAGAGCCCTTCAAACTAATGCAAAATCATTCCAAGCACAAAAATAATGATTGCAACATATTATAATGATGATTGCTTCTCCTTTGGGGAGCAGAAGTTGTATGATAAGATTTAAAATTGGAAACTATACAGATAATGGATTAGTTCAAAGGTGACAAATTTGAAATTCTATGAAAGCCAGACAAGAAACATAAATGACCAAGTGGACCAGGTCTGTTTCATTGTGGGATTTTAACACAAGCAGGTTCTATACATTAAACCTATGGCAACTCCCTCCATATCAGAAAGAAATATACTCTTGAAAAATGCCAGCCCTCTTGATCTTTCATTTTCCAATGTGAGTGTAAGAAATGATTCAATTTCCTCCTAACGCTGTTATGAGAGAAGTAAAATTGCATGAGACTGACTATCAGCTTCAGCACTGAGGAAATAAGCAGGAGCTGTATGGGTGCAGCCAGCAGAAAGGCGTGTACTGCATCCCCGAAAGCCAGCTGTGACCACACTCTGGCTGGCACTTCCAGAGAAAACATGCAAATCCTGTGTTCTGATGTAAATCACTACATTTTTAAAATATTGACCAATACTGCAAAGTAAATTTAAATCAATCATGGATGAATATTGTGA